CATCCAAGATCAGAATCACAGCGGCTTTGTATAGCTGCAACGGGATAGATAACAATGTCTACACGGGCCAGCAGAAAGCTATCAGGACCATCAGCCATTTGTCTCAATATTTTCCCATTAGCTTAGGCCCTGCCAAGAGCCCAGCACACAGCGGAGAGGGAGACAAACACAAAACTTCACACAAACTGTGCACAAACTAACCATGGCCTCTGTCTCTTGTCTAAGAGGGATAAAAGGCAGATCTGAAAAAGAACATGTATGTTTTGGGAGTAAGGATGGACAGCCTGGATCTTAACCAGAACAGGTATTAGTAGTTGTTCTTTTTTCACTACATAAAAGAGGCATTAGGTATGTCAAATCTTACTTAAACAGTAAGTTTTGACACCAATTCTGCTCTGGCAATTTTTTTATAAAACATCCACCAACAAGAAAGCCACATTAGCCAAGTAGAACGCCACGTTAATTCTGACTCCATATAAAGACAGCCTCCCTTTTTTCCCCTCAGAGGTATCCATTTATTGACCATGACCTTCACACATGCAGAAACATGGCAGGAATAGCCTGCAGAGATTACAAAGTCTCAATTTAGTTTCCCCTTGGAGCTGAACGGAGAAACATTACCACAAAGCAGCACAGTAGTCTTTTACTGATGCAAGTAGGCAGTGTCATCTCACTGCATGCCGATACAACCTTGCATCCACAAAATAGTATGGCAGGATTATGAGAGTCATCATATGCAGTTCTCCCTAACTGACAAATTGAATTTATGAAGATTAGAGAGTATTCTTGGTGAATGACAACAGACATCATCTTTCAATAATTTAGCAAAAGCCAGATCCACCTCTCATTCAAAAAATCATGATCCTGTTTTAGATAAAGCATGGTGTAACCTCAAGTTAAAAACAGTAACAAGAAAACACCAGGGAATTGACAAAGCTGTCCTACAAAAGGACAAGACAGATGAATTGAGAAGGATGCTATTTTTGTCAGTCTGTTTTAGATGGGGACAAAAAAGGGGATCTTAGAAACATTCATTTACAGCAAGTATGAACAAATACAGACAACTTTGGGAATTTAATCACTATGGTCAACAAGGTCCAAAACAAACTCAGAAGTTCTGCTTACAGTATGAATTGTCCATATTACAATACCTCGATGTCCTTCCTCTGACCTGCCTCATGCTTCAGATGTCTTGGACAACTGTCTCAATGTACCTTAACTAGAGCCCAGAACTGGCCTCAGCAAGAAAGTAAGGAGGCTGAAATTAGGACAATACTTTTTTCATTTTTTCCTTCAAGAAAACAGACTTGGACTATCGAAGCAAAAATGCAGACAAAGCGGGATTTAGATGCACTACTTGGAACAAAGAAGCGAAGCTGCAGGGAAGCAAAAAAAGCAACAACAACAGGCAAAGCTGATACTTCCTTGCAACACTGAACTATTTCAGTCAACCACACAAAATACTGAAAGTCATCTGAGAAGCAGCAGTAACATGCACACACTCCAGAAAACAACTCCTTAACAGAATACAGAAGCCAATAGAATTCTAAGCTCAGCTCAGGGGAGACCAGAAAAAAGCCAAAACACAAAACCAACACTAAGGCAGGGCAGTACCACTGCATTATCTGCGAGGTTTTATACCTGCCAAACCTAGAAGAAACAGCTAACAGAGCATCTGAGTAATATTTTCACTTACAGATAAATTAGTAGAACCAAGCTTCTTCCATCCAGGTATTTTTCAGATAATCTGGACTCCGTCTCACCCAACCAAAGCAGATCTCTGAGCACCATGCCTCCTAGGAAGCACGTTCTAGAGACCTGTACCTCAAAATTTAACAGCTTGGGATCATATTGTATTCCTTCATCAGCCTGCCTACCATCTGAATTCCAGGACTCAATGTTGTTTCCTTGACATTTTTTATATTCTATTATATATGTAATATTGGAGTTCACCCAGATTCACAATGCTATCTTTAGAAATGCACACTAGTTAAAAGAAAAAAAAGAAAAAGAAAGGAAGTACTTAAAGCTACAGCATGTATATGCCGCCATAGCTGCAAGCTAGGCCATGCATTTTCACTAATGAAATTGTAGCAGGGCAACACCTCTTTCCACGATGACCCAAGCTTAACAAGCTTTGACAGCTTAACAAGGCCCACAATTTAAAAACAAAACCAAAAAAGCCACCACATACATGTAGGAGTACCACAATAGACCTAACCCCAGCAAGTCACAAGCATTCACAGAAGCCTGATGAAGCTAACAGTGGAGGGAAAAAGAAGCTACAGTTTTTGCTACTGAAAAGTAATACCTTCAATACTTTTTTAGTGAAAAATCCAGCTTTGCAAGCAAAGTTATTTGCTTGTAAATAAAAGTTCGCTTGCAAAGTTATTTGCCTGCAGAGGTTTAAGACTCACGCCACTTCTCCCCAGACTGCTTGCCCCCACAACCTGCCAGATCCTACTTTGTTTTCCCTCAGATAAAACAGCTTTATACAACCATTTTGCAATAGTTAGTATCTCCTACACTTCATCAAATTCCAGACAGACTGATGTGTCTAAGCATGAAGCAGGGCAAAAGAAGACTACTGGATAATAAAAAGATCTGTTGGGAGGAGAGATTCTGACATGTCGCTAAACACACATCAGTATCTAGAACCTCAAGCACAAGTGGTGAACAGAATGAAGGAGAAATGAGCAAGTAAGACAATGTTAGAAAACAATTTTTTGGGGTGGGGGGGGTGGGGAAGTGGAACACCCTTCTTGTCACATCCTTTGTACAGACTCCAGATCCCACTACTGGACTTGCTCTGCTTTTCACTTTTCTGTGAATGGTATAAAGCACATGGTGTATCTACACTGGTCCCTTGCTCAAAAATTTAATACCCTGGCTGATTCTCCTCCTAGAAGATATGCTAAGGCACATGGAGGCCAGGGAGGTGATTCGAGACAGCCAGCATGGCTTCAATATTTGTTTTACTGAAATTTGGTCTGTTAATTTAATTTTGGATCTTTCTTTTCTTTCAGTTTCAATAGTGCGTAAAAACAAGTTTGAGTATCTGCAGTATGTGGTTTTTTTATATATGCAAAGATGAAACTCAACAAATCAAGACTTTCTCTTCCTTTTACCTTCTAACTCTCAAGTATAGCTAATGAATCACAAATTGTACCAGAATAAATTCTCCTTTCATGCTGTAGTGGTCTCCACATGACTATGTGCAGGTGTCCTTCTGATTTCCTGACTGTAGGTTTGGCAATGTCAGGGTAAACATGTTTTGCTGGGACAGACTTTCAATACAGAATTCCACTAGCTGCTAGTCCTTCCTTTTACTTTTCTTTTGGTTTTGCCTATTTTTTTTTCTTCATTTGTCCCAATTTTTGCATTCATCACAATAAAATGTAAGTACCTCTTCCTTTGAAAATATAAGTGTTTAACTCTTGCATTCATTCATAATGCAGAAGTAGCCATGTAGGTTATGATTCCCCCTAGTGGTATAAAATCCCACCGTGTTCTTTAGTAATGCGTTTAAATTATCAGCACAAGAAAGACATGGAACTGTTGGAGCGGGTCCAAAGGAGGGCTACAAAAATGATCCGAGGGCTGGAGCACCTCTCCTATGAGGACAGGCTGAGAGAGTTGGGCTTGTTCAGCCTGGAGAAGAGAAGGCTGCGGGGAGACCTGATTGCAGCCTTTCAGTACTTAAAGGGAGCCTATAGGAAAGGTGGGGACAATCTTTTTAGTAGAGACAACAGTGACAGGACGAGGGGTAATGGTCTTAAACTGAAACAGGGTAGGTTTAGGCTAGATATAAGGAAGAAATTCTTTACAATGAGGGTTGTGAAACACTGGAACGGGTTGCCCAGAGAGGTAGTGGAGGCCCCATCCCTAGAAACATTCAAGATCAGGTTGGACAGGGCTCTGAGCAACCTCATCTAGTTAGTGGTGTCCCTGCTCGCTGCCGGAGGGGTTGGACTAGATGACCTCTAGGGGTCCCTTCCAACCCAAAACTTTCTATGATTCTATGATTCTATGACGCAGGTCTTGAAAGTTCTCTCTCTCTCTCGAAGTTGAGGTATTCACCCAAGGCCTTACAAGTGATCAGGAGACTTCCTACACTGAACACACAAGAATACTGGGATATACTCCAGCCTTCAGATTTGAAAATATACTTTTTTCCTCCTCTCTGAAACAAGAGAAGGCAGAAAAAACACTGGTAGCAGGATACCAAGGGGGAAAAAAAACCCAAACAAACAAACAAAAAAACCACCAAAAAGAAAACAACCCAAACACAGACATTAATTACAAACAAACGTAAAAAAGCTAGATGTGCTAAAACACACCTTTAAACAAATTTCTTTCACTGCCAAAGACCTCACAAATCAGTAGCTGTAGTACACTGGAATGACAATCTTTCACACACCCTGACCATTACTAAGGAACTGCCTGAATTTACCAACTGTGGATGCTAGTCAGTATGCCATATCCAGTTTGGACTAACATCTATAAGAATAAGACAACAGTAAGCAGCCTGTTGATTTCTAACTGCATTTTACTAGAAATAAGACTTCAGAATTAAGATTGTGACAGATACCATTTTTGGACAACTCTGGTATGTGATCTTCAAAATATTTAGCAGTCTCATTACTAGGTAGATCATTATCACAACTGAATTTAGCAGCATGTTTAATAATGTGTATGGTCATGATTCATCAGAATTATTCCACAATTTCACTGTAATCTGACAAAGGTATGATACTCCAATGTTTCTGGGAAAATTTTGCAGGACATTCAGAATAGAATCTATACCAAGGTTGAAACTACAAGCACCAATACATTATTAGATTTTTTCCAGCATAAATGAGTTCTAAATGACTATGGAGATCAACCAACCAGCAACCTGAGTATAGGTATCAGCTCCCTACTTCTTTCAAGCTATGTAAAATAAATTTTTTAAAAAGGCAAAAAAGTATAATAAAACAGTCAGTACCTCAAGAACTTACCTTCAGACTTCAACTTCGTAAGAACAAAAATCAGGTAGTTGTTGAAATCTGGATACTGGTTGAGTTGTTCTAGTTTCTGAAGAGAGAAACCGTTAAGGAACGCTGAATCGTCACACAGAGCATTTATAGCCTTCTGGATACAAAGATAATTAAATGAGTTATGTACTGCTGCGTCACTTCAATCAGCTGTGACCATAAACTCACAACACAGAGTACGAGCAATCTAAACACAGTTTCTGCCATGTTCTTGCTGAAGCAATAGCTTTCAGTTATGGGGACATCTGGAAAAAAATTCAGGGACAGACACAGAAATTATTAGATCCTTAAAAATATTTATAAAGCCACTTAAAAAACCCTTCCTCTGTACAGTTTCAGATTTCAATATTTAAACTTCGAAGCCCGCCAAACCTAAGGAATCCTCTGAGACACAATCCCATAATAAAGCTTTTTTTCCTCCTCCCCAATAAACAAAAGCATTTCAGCAAAATACAACACCTATGATTTTGATAGGCTACTTATTTTAATAATTGACATATCTTTCTTTGTGATGCTAACTAGCCACAGCCTGAGCTTTTATCAGTGAGAACCGGTTTAATTGTAAATGCACAGATAGTTGTACCACAAAGTTCATGCTTATCCACAGTCACATTGAAAAAAAACAAAACAAAAAACCCCAAATGACAAAACCGCAGGAATAATGATCATGTTTATGAACGGCCACGAAGGTATGTACTCATCTTGCCTAAAATTTGTCATTACTTCTGCCTCAAATTTCCTAGCATTCTGCCACGTCTTGGTTAGAGCTGTGATCTGGCATTCTCCCTGTATCCTGTTCTCAGTCCTGGTATTAACTGGTATGCCACTCAACAATATGATTTTTAAGTCAGTGCAGTGTCACCTCCAAGTTACTAAGCCTACTACATATCATCAGTATGGCAAACAATCAAGACATGTAACAAAAAAAATATTTTTAGAAGAAGTAAGATTATTTGCTCCATAGGCCTTCACATTACTTGCTGCTCAGCTAAATCTCTAAGCATTCAAGGCAGCTAAACCTTAGCCAAACACATGTTATGTTAAGGCTTGATGGCCCACTAAATCTCTTCCAGTTCTAAAAGATTCGTTTCCTTCCAATGACCAACAGCCAGTGTCTCAATCACAAATTTAAGAAACTTAATTTCTAGATATTTGGGCTGTTTGCATCACGTAGTGACTTTGCTAGAGAAGCCTGCCCTCTTTCCACTTAAGACAGTAGAGTGTACTTATCACAGCCACAAGCTTCTTTACTGTGAAACACAGAGGAGATGAAATGTAAACAGGAGGATAGTCAGGGCAAGTGAAAAAAATATAGAACACTCTACATGGCCCCTAGAAATGAAAAACCACACATCCAAAGACTGTTGTCAAAGGTGGTAAGCCAAAGAGCTTTCATGAACAGACAAGTAGTACAGCAGCATGTTTCAAAATCTTTTTCTTATTCTCCAAGCTTCAGAAACATAATCACCAACACAGCCAGTTGAACATTACTAACAACTGTGAATTCCAATGGATCAAGCAGGAAGCAGAAGTGAGCAGCAAGAACTGAAAGAGCAGTATTTAATAGCAACCTAATAATGAACACTTAATTGGTCTAGGAAACAAAGAATAGCTTACAGGCCATATTTTCTTAACTTCCTCACCCACTTTACTTCTTTTTTACTCCAGTAAACATCCAATATCTTCATTTGAAAAATATCTCAAGCCTTACCAAGTCATAACTTTGTTAACAAAGGGTTTTGGTTAACCTATACTCCCCACTTTATATTTGCGTTCTAAGCACCCAAATGTGCCAATACAGTGTCAAAAAGGAAGAGAATAACAGAATCAACACACTGATAATCTTACAACAAACCATGGACAGAGTACTTCAATTTTGAAACGATTCATCACCACCCTGCTTGGACATGCTACTAAGTAGCATCCTACAATACAACAGCCACCACAGATTTTTGTGGAAACAGTCTAAAGACTTTTTTTTTTTTTAATTATAGGATGTGGACTATAAATTTTAGATTTTTTAAATTATGGACATTTGACTGTTGGACTTGATGATCTCAGAGGTCTTTTCCAACCTTAATGACTCTATGATTCTATGACCATCAAGTTATACCAGAACATTTTCCAAAACTGATGTCTAATGCAATGGTAAAAATCTGCCAATTCTCTAAACTTTACAGGCTAACATATGAGGACCTCCTGAAAGCACAGGTATCTCAGCACAGCGGGGAGTTACCACTACTATTTAAAAGGTATTACAAACATCAGGTAACAGCACTTTTGTTCAGTCAATTTCTACTCATCTTCAAGACAGACAGCATCACCTGCTGCTATTTTTCAATAAACAAACCAGATGCTATTATTTGAAGCAGAGCTTTAAAATGTAATTTTACATTAAAGCTACACTATAAACACTGTCGCTACAAACACTTTCATTTTTTGATTACTAAAGAGTGCCTACTTAAGTGTGGGACATTATCAGAACATTTCACTTAGTCAGACACTTCTGTTTACGATTCTTCAAAGGAAGCAATAGCATTTTAAAAATCCAACAACATAGCTGCAAGTACAAGATCATAGAGAAGAAAAATATCTTCACCTTGCAGACAAGAGCAGAAGCCTCCCTAAGCTTGACTGCATCTGTTATGAAACTCTAGAACTGGACCAAATGTGGCTTCAGGCTAAACTCTTAAAATAACATAAATATATATATACACACACATACACAAGTATGTTCTACCTACTTAAATAAATTCTGTTGCTTTCTGTGAAGACCTTCAATCAAATGCCTTCTATAAAAAGGGATCAAGATGATAAACTCCTACCCTTCATAGAATTTCAGGACTTTTAGACACTTTAAAGCACTTACATGGCTAGCTCAAGGAGCAGGACACAGTAGACAAGTACTTTATTTTTCAAGACCTATGCTTCTGTTAGTCTTAACTTAGAATTTTACTGTGATGTCAATCTTTGTTCTTTAAAACCTTGCTATTTCATCACTTCTACAACTGAGAGAGATTTAGGGGGGTGAAAAGCCCAACAATCCACAACACCAACACCCAGTGCACGTCAAAGCAGCACAAGAAGCCCCATACATGCGATTTCCCCCTTCCCGTGAGTTTTAAGGCGTGTAAACGAGCGGTATTGCAAGCTCAGGCTTCCAGGCAAGCAGAAACACCCTGACAACGTCGCAAAAAGCGCAGCGTCAGAGCCAGCAGGCCGGCGAGGGTGTGCAGGCGGCGGCTTGGCCAGAGGCACTCCCGGCACCAGCTACCGCTGTCGCCTCCCACCTCATGGCCAGATTACCTCAGGAAGGGCCCCGGCTTGGCCGCAGGGCGAAGGG